TGCCCGGCTGGACACGTCTCGGGCGACCCTCTCTGCGGGCGCCTTAAAAACACCATCCTGGGAGCTGCCTGGCGGGAAGTCCTGGAGCAAGAAGAGAAAGGGTTACCAGGGTGGGCAGGACAGCTGGCCCTGAGGGTCACACAGGCCCGGCCCTCGCCACGCCCAGGCCCTGCCCGCTCGGTGACAGGAGAGTGTCTAAGTGGAGGGAGAGGGAGGTAGCTGGCCCTGCGGGAGGTGACCTCTCTGGTCCGAGCTTCGCCCAGCCCCGGGGTCCTCCCCTCAGCTGGCCATGGCCCGAGGTGCACGTGTCATTTTGGCCACCAGATGGCGCAGGCCTCCCAGGAACGCGGCCGAGCGAGGCGGGCGGGGCTGGCAGCGGTGGCGGAGGAGCCGCTCAGATTTACTGAGTCAATTAGCACACTCCAACGCTGCCATCCAATGGGGAAGGGAAACTCATGGCCCCAGGCCCCGGGCTTTGTTCCCAGGGCGCCCGGGAAGGGCCGGACACATTTTTCTTTCCAAGAACGGGTTTAATGTGCCCTCCAAATTTCTCCCCTGCCCTCGCCAACTTCCCCAGGCAGCCCTGCTGAGATTTATCAGAACTCACGTCGCGCGGCTGCTGTAGCCTGATGTTGAACTTTACTCCTGAAAAGCGAACAGAGAGCACAGTATTAGCGCCGGAAGAACCACGTAGTTCCCAGGAACCTGCTTATGGGCTCTTGACTGTGGGTGCCCCGAAGGGAGGGCACTCGGGGTAGGCGCCACAAAAAGGCAGTTCAGGGGGGACGCGGGAGAGGCGCGCTTCAGTGTGAGTGCCCCTCTCTCCCATCCGCATGGAAATGGGGGCGCAGGAAAGACCTGGTCCCCTGGCTGCCAGCTGATGCTCCCTTCTTGGCGTCTTACCTCCTAGCGTGACCTGGAAGGTCTGGAAAAGCGCCCTGCTCAAGCTGCCACACACCTGCCCAGCAGAGCATCCAGAAACCTCACAGCCCACTTCCCACCCACACTGTCACTAAATCAGAGGGGAAAGGCCCCTTCAGAAAGGCCTGTCCATGCTCTATGCCCTGTTGGCTCTGCCCGGCTGTAGTCCATGTGGACGCTCCTTACCTGGAATACCACACACCTGCACCCACACCTTTGCACACACCTGGCCTGGGACTGGAACACACTCATTCTCCTTGGACTGGGGTCTCCCCACTTCCCTCTGGGAAGTTCCCTAACTGAGCCATCCACTTTGAGACGTTGGCCTCGCAGCTGGCCCTGGGGCTCTGGGGGTGAGCTGAACACACACTGCCCTCCTCCAAAGGGCTGAGCAGAGCCCAGGCACAGAGTGTCCAGCGAGCACTCACGGTGACTGCGGGGAGAGAGGTCAGCGTATCACTGGCCACACTCCAGGTGTCCCCTCTGCCCACCTTTGCCTGGGCTTGGGCTGGGCTCACTCAGGACAACAAGCACTGGGAGGCGAGCCTTTGGCCAGAGGAGACGATTCTGCCTCATAGCAGGCTTGGTCTGTTTTGGGGAAGGACAAGAGGATTCCTTCGGGGGAACTTACTTAGGAGTCTGGGCTTCCTTCGCCCACCCCTGCTTGGCCAGGGACACTTCAGGGGCTCTTCCTGCTCTGAGGCTTTGCCAGAAGCCAGTCACCATCAGAACCGCCTCCCCTCACACAGAGGGCCGAGCCTGGCGCTGCCTGGGGTGGGTGCTCTGGAGGCCCAGCACTGCCCCTGCCATCTCTGAGTACTTGGCAGAGGTCCAGTGGCTGGAGCCCAGCTGGTGAGAGGACATCCAGGTCCTCTATCCCTGACCCCCAAACTCCACTCACTTCTCTGAGGTTGTTCTACAGGTTCAGCCACTGCAATGGCCATGGCCTCATACTGGTCAGGCTGAGGATGTGCCCACATGTCTCCTTCATTTATCAGCAATTGGGGATACCCGAGGTCACCCTGGACTGAAAGCCTGCCGTCCCTGAGCATGCTGGGGCCTTTCTCAAGTCCCAAGAGAGGTGGGAATGAAGGCGGAACTTGGCGCGTTGCATCTTTCTTCTGCTGCAGTATTATCCTTTGATCCTTTTGGGCTCAGAACAGGGGTGTGCCCTTCCCTGGGCAAAGGGCAGAGTGTCTGCCTTCCTGAGCATTCCCCAGGTTATGTGCATAAGTGTGTGGAGGCGGGTGAGCTCTGAAACAGGCCTTCCAGACTCTTCCGCGAGGCTGAGGAGAAGCTCCAGGCAGAAGTGGTTGCACCCCTGAGGGCGGGGTATGATCAGGGGGTGCCTGACTGTGAGACAGGAGCCTTTAGAGTTCAGCCCCTTGCCAGGGGCCCCTTCTCAGCCCCGATCCTGCCTCCCTTCGCCGCCCCCTTCACCCTCCTCAGGCAGCCACCCCCAGCATGAGCTTCCTGGGCTCAGTGTTTCTGGCACATGCAGCTTCCTCCGGCGGCCGATGATCACAGAGCCCTTCTCCAGAAGGGACCCGCACACACTCGGTTTCCCTCCACACTGCCGCGTTTCCTTAATTATTTTCTTCTGGTGATGGCAGCTGGCTCTGCTAAATCACCTCCCCTCCTCAGCTTCAGACACAGGAATTTACTCTGCTTGTCAACCCTGTCAACTTGTCAAAGTACGATGGCACTTATTTATGCTCCTTTTCTGGAGCAAATGAGTCATGCCAGGCGTGGCCAAGAGTGGGGCCGAGGAGCCACCTGCCAGCTGGTGGAAGCGACAACGTGTTTATTGAGGTTGCAGCCCCTACGGTTGTGACCTCCCACCTGCACGGTCCCCACAGCCCGAAGGGTGGTGGCCGTGGGGCTTGTCCCATTTAATCTGTGCAGACTGGACAGGTGTGTCCGAGCTTGGCCCACTCGGAGGCTGGTAGGGCCAGAGCCCTGGGCATAGGCTGGAGAAAAAGTTCTAGCTGGACAGAGCCTGGCTCTGGGGGCGTCTCCTGACCTTTGGCCACTTTTGTTTAACAAAGCCAACCAGGCTGCAATTGCCTCTTTTGTAAAGAAAAACTGTCTGTGGAAAACCCAACAACAGATCCTGTGGGGAACTATATTTGCCACAAGCTCTATGCTCCAAACCCTTAAACTTATGGCAACTTGCTGGACAAAGACTGACCCTTTGGAGTAAAGGCAGAATTTTAACAAAGGAAATGTAATGGGCTCTCCCCCTGGCAGAGGCCCCGCGCTCCTTTCCCCATGGAGGACGCTGCTCTTCCACACACGGACTGCACAAAGGCTGAAGCAAAGACCACCCAGCTCTGAACGAGGGAAGGCCAGGACCTTGGGATCCTGACACTGGGGTCTGCGTTCCCCCCGTGGGCTGCACTTCAGGACCCCGGACAGCTCCATGGAGAGCCCTGGGAAGACGGTGTTGCCTTTGCTGCACCCACAAGGAAGGTACAGTATTGTCACTGAGAGCCAGCAGAATTGGTGCCAGGGGGGACTTACGGAACGGGGGGGCCTGGCCTCAATATAATCATGATCATCCTCCCCCTAAACCCCGAAATAAGCACACAATACAGATAAAACTAGGTTTTCTGAGCAACACAAGCCATGACCCCTCGCCTCCTTGTCCACCCAATGCCAATGCTGCCACACACATTCCCCATCCTCCCCGCCTGGGACAGGGGAATCCCAAGGCGTCATGTACACTCCACTTGCAATATCTGAGTTACCGTCCCCTCTTTTCAATAAAACATTAACAATCCCCCTGCACTTGGATAAAAAATAAACAACCACTTTCTCTTTCTGGATAGATGACATACGCAGAGCAGTTAGAATATGCACGATACAATAGGAGTTAGCACCGGTGAGAGCAAACAAGGCGTGAGTTATGGGGACTGTCAAGTGGGTTCCACACGGTGAGCTCTTCACGGGCCTTCTTCCGAGGGTTCGGCTGAAAAGCTCCCTGGTGCCTGCCGAGGGGAGGCACAGGCTGACGGGGGTGTGCAGAGCCAGTGCTTAGGATTAGGCGGTGCAGCCTGGCCTGGAGCGGGGCTGGGAGGGGGCCTCATTGGCATGTGAGCGGTGGGAGAGGTGGGTCGCTTGCCCTGCGAGTCACAGGCGGGAGGCTTGCCGAGTTCAACTCAAAAACTCCAACTCCTTGGTGCCAGTTTGTGTAGACAGGTGACACTGACAGGGGTCAAAACAGGGCCCAAGTGCCTAGAACGTGTCTCTGGAGCCCTTGAACATATTTAAGGGAAATGACTGCTCATCTGGTTGCTCAAATCCCAGCTCCAGGCCCTGGTAGGCAGTGGGGAGAGGGTCCTGCCACTCTGAACACTGTGGCCTGGGGCAAGGCAGGGCCATCCTGAGGAGTCAGGCCCGCAGGGAGGGCAGAGATGGGGAACTGAAGGCCCAGGAGGTGCACCTGGGTGTGGGTGTAAGTCTGAATCCCTGCCCTGGGCGGAGTTTCAGACTCGTGCTCCCTGGATCCCTGGGGTTCCCTGGACCGAGCTGCATTCCCCTGGCTCATGTCCCATGTCCACATCTTCTCAGGGTGAGCCCGTGTGGCCACACCCACCTGTGAGCACACTCACATGTCCGCTTAGGCTGCCCATCAGGCCGGGAAACTTCAGGAGCTTCAGGCCGTCCTGAGCCAGGGGAGACACCTGAAAGTGAGGCACTCACTGCGTCTTGGCGCCCCTATGTGCGAGATCCTGAGTCCAAGCTTCGGTCCCACCCCAGGTGCCCGGGCAGTTGGTGGGATGAAGGCTGTTGCTGTGCTCTGCACTGTCCACATCCCAGTCAGAGAGCAGCAGCCCCTGTGCCTAACGTGTGTGCCACAGAAAGGCCTCCTGCACAGCTGGTGCGCGGATGGGACACACAGCAGGGATGAGCACAAGGTGCGACGCAGGGGCGCTGGCAGGAGAAAGCGCAGCCAGGGTGGGTGTGCTGCCCACAGGGGTCAGGGGAGAAAGCCTGCAGGAACCCCAGGCCCCACTCCGAGGAAGTGTGGAAGGTTTCTGAATGATAGGCTGGGTTAGTCGGGGTCCTCCAGAGAAACAGCCAATAGGATACATACATGGAAGGATATCTATTTTAAGGAATCCGTTCATGCACTTAGGAGGTTTGCAAGTCCAAAATCTGCATGGCAGGCCAAGGCTGGAGACCCAGGGAAGAGCTGATGCTACGGCTTGAGTCTGGGGACTGTATGGAGGCAGAATGCTTTCTTCCTTGGTGACCCCAGTCTTTTCTCCAAAGGCCTTCAACTGATTGAATGAGGCTCACCCACATTATGGAGGGCAATCTGCTCTACTCAAAGGCTACTGATTGAAATGCTAATCACACCTAAAAAATACCTTCACAGCAACATCTATATTGGTGTTTCACCAAACATCTGGGCACCATGGCTTGGTTAACACATAAAATTAACCATCGCAGGGGTGTATTAGTTTCCTAGGGCTGCTCTAACAAACTACCACAACACTGGTAGCTTAAAATAACAAAAATGTATTCTCTCTGGAGGCCAGGTGCCTGAAGTCAAGATGTCAACAGGGCCTCTCCCTCTGAAGCCTCTTCTAGCTTCTGGCAGCCCCAGATGTTTCTTGGTTTGTGGTAATTTAAGTCCAACTTCACATGGCTGTCTTCCCCAGCGATCTCATCTTAACTTGATTATATCTGCAAAGACCCCATAAGGTCACACGCAC